ACCAAAGAAACTACCAATCTGGGTGCAAACTCTTAATAGGCTTACTTCCTAACTCTTCATGTTGATGTGGTTTTCTTATCCCATAGATCAGTACATTTGTAAAAGGGATCTGAGTAAGCTGTTTAGTTGAGTTTAAAAGAGTACACCTCACCCCTTTCTATCCTCCCTTTCCCCCCATAGAAAAGGGTACAATAAAAGTCACTCCTAGTTCACTTGAAGTTGTGGCTAGCTCCTGGATAGACCTCCAGTTACTGGAGTGTATCCCGCATTCAGGGCAAAAGGGATCCAGTCCTATATGATGTGTCACAAATTATTGTTACAAGTATCTCACTGTGGCCTTTATTTTGGCACCAATAAATGAGTGATATTTCCTTCTTCCTTTTATGACACTCCTATTACCTTAGTTTCTTCTTTGAGTACACCTCTTAGATTTCTTTGCAACTGCTCCATGTATCTTGTATGTACCTAGATTTTTACATGTTGTCTCTTCCATTAGAATGTATACTCCTTGGGGCAGGTAGGTGGCACAGTGGATAAAGCACCGGCCCTGGATTCAGGAGGACCTGAATTTGAATTTGGCCTCAGACACATAACACTACTTGTGTGACCCTGGGCAAGTCACTTAACCCCATTGCCTAACCAAAAGGGAAAAAAAAAGAAAGAAAGAAAAAAAATAGAATGTATACTCCTTGAGAGAAGGGACTATTTTTGTCTTGTTTTGTATCCCCAGCTTTTAGCTCACATAGTGAGTAGATAAATACTGACTGATTGATCTTTCTTACCTCATGGCATTGGAGTTCTCATGTTTTTCCGTTAATTCTGATTATAGAGGAGAGTGCTCTTAGGTATTAATTCACATTAAGGTGTTAAAGTGCAGCACAGTGCCTGGCACATAGGAGCTGTGATGATGATGATGATTGAAGAGGTCTAGGACTTTTGGGGTGCTGCAACCCCAAAATCGTGGTATCGGGCCCTGCCTGAATGAATTCAACTCAAATCTTCTTCAAGCCAGAGGAAAAGTTTATTAGTGATAAATCACATAGGCCAGGTAACACCCGCCCATGAGTATGAGCTGGCATGAGAAAATCTCAGCCTTTTGAACATGAGGTTCTCAGCATCTAAATGTGGACCAGGGTGGATCTTAAATACTAAAGTAACTTTGGGTGGCCAGGGAAGAGGGTTGGGAAAAGGGTCTAGGTAAGAATTCTAATTGGGGAGGTCTGAGAGATTGAATAGACAATGAGAATAGCTAATGGAGGGAACAGGAAGGCATGGGTCAAAGGGAGATAAGGGGAGTAGTTTAAGTATTTTATGGGGCCTGTAACAGAGGGAACTGGAAGGCATTTGCAAAAGGTGAAGACTAAGGCTTCCAAAGGGAGATAAGGGGAGTCGATAAGGAACCATTTGGAACAAGAGTAAGGGCTTTCTGGGGCCCATAGACAAAAGGGAGCCAGATTCTTTTAGTGCAAGGGGCAAAGGTGCATCTGAATAAGATTGAAAGTTAAGGCTAAGGCTTTCAAAGGGAGATGAGGAGCCAGGGTCTGTAGACAAGTGGGAGTCGGATTCCCTTTGGTGCAAGGGGTGAAGATCTTGGCTTGGGTCCCGCCCCCATCAATGATGATGATGATGATGATGATGATGGTGATGATAGTAAATCTCTCTTTGGAAGCAATGAAATGATGAAGTATTCAGGAATTCCACTCCCTCCGCAATCTTTCAAGCCAGTAGATGCAACTGATTTTAGACCAGGAGTCCTTAACCTCAGGTCTTTGAACACATTAAAAATTTTTTTGACAGTTGTATTTAAGTACAATTGGTTTCCTTTGTAATTCTACATATCTTATTTTATGCATTGATGCATACAACATTTTTATGCAATATTTTAGATATCATTGTAAGAAACGATCCATAGATTTCAATAGATTGTCAAAAGTGTACAAGATAAAAAAAAATCAAGGACTCCTGTATTAGGTGAAACTTGGAACTAATATCTCTTCAATCTATTTGCCCTAGAAGTCAGAAACTGAAGTTTAAATTGTGGGTGAATGCCTTCTTTACTTCCCAATTCTCTTGACAGGGGGCCCCTTGAAATACGAGAATTATTTGGGCAGTTCTCATGCCTTGGGTACCCGGTGATTACACGCCTTGTTCCCGCTAACTTTGGAGTAGGAATAAGATACAGTGGAATTGGAGAATGGTGCTTTTTGCAAGGCCAGGTTTTTGTAGCCCTGACCAGCTAGAGAGGAAAAATGAGTTAAACACAGCAACTGAGAAGCTTGTGTCTGGAGAGCTGTGTCTCAGAGAACTCCGAAGAACTCATGTTGGTTTACAAACCAAGTGTAATTCTGCAACAATGCAAAACTTGTTACCTTATTTAGGAAGGCTGTGTATGTGGAAACCCGCAGGAAGAGCTCTCCAGATGTGCAGACTTAAAGAACATACAGTGATTAATGCCCTACTTCTAAACTATGTGTAAATTTAGTGTCAGCATTTTCTTGAACCAACTTCCAGCATTTAGTTCTGGGAAGCCTTGCCACACAGATGCTATGTCTATGTACATTGCACGGAAAAAATGTCTGATTAGTTTACCAAAGACTTCAGTTAATCTCTGACATTTTGGAAAAATTGTAAGACTTATTCATTTACTTACAGCAGTTTAAGGTTCATACAAGTTTGTACATCATTAGCTCTGGAGAGATTTCAGAGGTTATCTAGTCTAACGGGCTCAGTAAGCAAAAACACTGAGCGTCGTAAAAGTTGTGATTTATTTGACCCTAATTTGATAACATCCTTGTAACTGGAGCAGCTTTCTAATTCCCGATCTGGGAAGCATCTCCACATTGGCCAGGGGATCTCATGAACTACATATGGGAGAATGCCACTTAGTCATCTGAGTGATGTGTATATTAAATCCAGTTATTATATTTGCAGAGTGACTTGGTAATTTTTTTCCTCATGTGCACACACTCAAACCTAGTGCCAAATTGTCTTCTACATCCCCACATCCAATACTACTTTCCCTGTATGTACCAAGCTGCTTTGTAGTGATAGCAATAAGTTAGAGTAATACTATAACAACATGGATACTGCTTATAACAAGGCTCAGTGCAGTTTTAAGCTATTAAAACTTAATTTAAGTTTAGATCATATTCAATGAAATTTTAATTAAATTAAGCTCAAATTAAATTTAAATACCCCCCTCATTTGTGTTGGATAAGTTTTAAAGCAGAGGTTCTTTATCTGGTGTCTATGAACTTTTTTTTTTTAAGTAGCTAGAAGCGATGAGGGGATGCAGTGGATAGAGTAATGGACTTCAGGTCAGGGAGACTAGAATTCTAATTTGATCTCATACTTATTAGCTGTGTGACCGTGGACAAGTCACTTGACTTCTGTTTGCCTCAATTTCCCCATTTGTAAAATAGAGATAACAATAACACCTACCTCCTAGGGTTTTGTGAGGATACAATGAGATAATATTTGTAAGGCACTTTGCAAAAACTTTAAAATACCATATAAATATTATTATTTCAAATATTTGATAATAAGTGGTACAGTGGATAGAGTCAGGAGGGCCTGAGTTCAAATTCAGTCTAGATACTTATTAGCTGTGTGACCCTGGGCAAGTCACTTAACCGCTTTTGCCTCCGTTTCCTTATCTGTAAAATGAGCTGGAGAAGGAAATGGCAAACCACACCAAGAAAACCCCAAATGGGGTCATGAAGAGTCAGACATGATTGAAATGACTCAATAACAAAATTACAAGAATTGATGCTTCTTTGAAAGCCTATGTATTTTGTTTTAAACATTCAAAAACCTCATTTTAAGAAGAGGTCCATAGGTTTCACCAGACTACCAGAAGGACCAGGACAACAACAAATGGTTCTCCCCCTCGTGCCTGTAGAGATTATTGCAAACAAACATAAGTGTTGGTTCTCAAGGTAAATGCTTTGGTTACTTTCTCATTTTCTCTTGGAAGCTTTTCCTTTTCTCTCTATTCTTTCAGTTTTCTTCTGAGCCTATGGGGAAGAAAGGCTCTTCTGTTAATTGTCCATAGGACCCTCATAGTGTTGGAAAAGATTTTAGAAGTCATATAGTATACCCCTCCCAACCATACCATTTTGAGTCATAGAAGTCCAGTGGCAAGACAAAGGTCTAGACGAACAGGGATGGCCCAGGAAGCAGGGGACTTAGGCCTTTCTAAATCAAGGTCTTTCTCAGAACTCAGTTTGTCTGAGGTGATGTCCTTTCAATGACTAAGGACTGGGTAAGAGTTGAGACAAAAGATGGCCTAATTTACCATCACAAAGAAATCAGTATGGGAGGGGAAGACCCGAAAATAATTGCTGTTTATATACTTTCTAAGCCTTCAAACACTAAACAATGAGCAACTGAGACTTGGGTTTTTGTTTACCATTCAAACAAAGCCAGAGGGGATTTTGGGTTTTGAGGTGGAGTCAAGGAGCTCCATTTAAAACTCAATGGACTTTTAAAAGCTTGTCTTTCCCACTTTGGGGGGCTTTTGGCAAAGTAGCTAAAAATTCACCTGCTGTAAGTTGTCATTCACCTTGGTCTATTGGGCAGGTGGTTAAACAGGATTGATGCTAGTGTTTTCTGAATGTGGATAATCAAGTTTAGACTAGGAACGGGAAAAATAGGGGAAAAAATGGTATACTCTGAAGGATTAATGTGAGGGCAAAGATGTGTATCACAGCTGTGCTCACTAAGCTCGTCAAAGGGGCCTTAAATGAAACAAACTGTTCACTTTGATGAGGTACCAGATTTAGCATGAAATGGGAAGAATGGTGAAACTCTCAGAAAGTCACACAAGTTTCTGCGTTTCCCCTTGGGTGGTGCTCTCTCATATTTTGAATGTTTTGAATATTTAAGGATGTGGAACTGCTTTGTACTTTTTTTTTTTGGTGTTTGTTTCTTTTAAATCTCTTGTGGCATGAGCTGGCATCTGGGACCATAATGACTTTCCTTAATTTTTTTTTTAACAGCACAAGCAGCTGCAGTTTAGATACGTTTTGGAATGTTAATCGTCACTGGGTAGGGCAGGGAAGATAGGGAAGAGTTTGGAGTGGAGGAGGCCAGCACAGATGCAGGTATAGGTAAGTTAAGTCTGCCACAAACTGACAGCCCCAAAAGCTCCCTTTCTAAACTGTACTTCTTCTCCCCTAGATCCCCCATGGCTGTGTATTATTTATTCTGAAGCTAAGATGCAAACCTGACTGCATTCTTGGCTAAATGAACATGAAACCTTGTATCAGTTCCGCAAGAAACAGGCTGTTTACTTTTTAGAAAAGCGCACATTTGATTAAAAACAATTGCCAGCAGTTGGAAGGTGGGTACAGATGGGGAGAGGTTGTTAATGAAATGGAATTAAGAGTATAAAATGGGATGGTAAAACAATGGTAATGATGATGAAAAAAACCACTTAACATTTCCACAGACTGCTACCAGAGGGCAGAAACAAAATGATAAAATGTTTCAGGCAAAGGAAATTTCCAAGGATTTTCCTAATGGATAACTAAAGATCAAATCCTCCCATATTTGAGTTAAAAAACCACCAAAAACTCAAGGACTGGATAGAACTGTGGCTTTTAGTACACTTCACAAAATCACTACTGCTCCCTATTTCCCAATGAGATCTTGCTTTTGAATATTGCAAGTGAAACTCATGATTAGCACAAGCATTTTAGCAGGAAACAAGTGGGGATGTACAGGAAAACCCCTTTGTGCTATAAAAGGACAATTCACATCTGGCAGAGAATCCACATGGAATCATGAAAATGAATTTATTGGGACAGGTTCTGTGAAGGAGCCCTTGTTGCTCGATCTTATTCATGGAGAGTGAATGTCCTTGTTCTGTTCCAGAAATATTAAAAAAAAATTAACCTATATTCAACTTAAAAAAAATTTATTTAACTCATGTGGGGTTAAGGATGAGGATGCTGTTCATGTGTGAATATGCAACCTGCCAAGACTTTCAGTACTTCAACAGATCTGTGATCTCATTAATGTGGGTGTTCAGTCAGTCAGCCAGCAAGTATTTATTAATTACTTACAAGGCACTGTACTAAATGTGGGGAATACAAATTCAAGTTAAAAGATAGTCTCTACTCTCAAAGACTGTACTTTAGAATTGGGGAAATCAACCACATAAGAAGGTGGGGAAGGAGGCTATAAATATTTATATAATACCTGCTATGTGCTACTATTATAGGTGGCCCAGTGGATAGGATGCTGGGGCAGGAATCAGGAATAAGTAATCAGGAATATTCTTCCTCCTGAATTCAAATCTGACCTCAGCCACTTGCTAGCTGTATGACCCTGGGTTAGTCCCTTAACCCTCTGCCTCAGTTTCCTCATCTGTAAAATGAGCTGGAGAAGGAAATGACAAACCACTCCAATATCTTTGCCAAGAAAACCCCAAATGGGATTGATGAGGTCTAGAGGTTTAGGGGTGCTGGGACCCCAAAATCACAACATTCAGGTCCTGCCCAAATAAATTAGACCCCATCACTAGCTATGTGACCCTCGGCAAGTCACTTAACCCCACTGCCTAGCCAAAAAATAAAAAAAGAGGTTGAAAGGTGGGAAGGGAGAGTGGGGCATGATGGAGAAAATTCTGAATTGCAGAATTGGTAAGAAATGAGGACTTTGCTAACCTGGGTACCCTCCTTAAATGGAAGTTGGGGTGGAGAGTACTTCTAATGAGTGAATTTCAAGAATAGAATGAGTTCCCACGATGAAGAGGTTTCTACAGCATAGTGAAGAAGTTTGGAATGCAGCTGTGTGGGACAGTGACCCCAACCCAAACTAAACTCAGAGACCTCCAGGTGGAATATAAAGGTTACCTTTATTACAATCTCGAGAGATGGCTGTCTGCTCCTTTGATACATGTGGAGAGAGAGAGAGAGAGAGAGAGAGAGAGAGAGATGGAGTAACAGGGGCCACCTTATGAAAGCAAATCTCCGCCCACCACGCAAACAAGCCTCCACCCACCACTATCCTTTACCCCCTTACCTGGGGGTGGGCTTACATTTTAAGCTCGAAAGTTTCTTCCTATCCTCTTAACTGGGAGGTGAGGCTTACATTCTAGGCCCGAAATTCAAAGACAAGGAAAGAGGCCGGAAGCTCAGGTTGGGGGTGGGGCAGGGCTTAGTCTTTCTGTTAAGTGCTTAAAAACAGGGTTTAAGTGGGGGAGGATTTTGAAAGTAATAATCAAGAATTATTTGACCCTTTGAGGAGCCTTCACTTCTGAGAGTTCATTTCTCACACTACCTTCTGAACTCATTACTTTAATTACACTGAGAAGTCTTCACTGGGACATCCCATTCACAGCCTCATGGGAAATGGAAAGTCAGGAAGTTCAAAATGCTGCCTTTTTATTTTCTTAGCTATTATGATGATGGACAAATCACTTAACATCTCTGAGCCTCAATTTCCTTATCTGTAAAATGGGAATAACAATACATTCTACCAATTTCAGTGACTGTTATGAATTGTCAACCTAAACATACTTTTGTGAATGTGAGATGTTTCTAATGAACAGAAAAAAAGTAGGGAACCCCCACACACATACACACGGCATAGTTGTTAGAATTATCAAACAAAATCCTGATGGGCAATATAGACCTATAATTTTCACTGTACCCTGAATGACAAAAATCCTGACCATTTTGGAACTATGATGGAAGGGAGTTTCAAAGAAGAGAGAAATTCTTATGCATTTTCATAAACATTACACCTACTTAGGACTTTCACTAAATATTCGTTCAAGTTATGAAGCATTTATTAACTGCCTACTTTGTTGAAAACTGTGCTAGAGACTGAGGTGTGTAAAGCCTTACATTGTAAGGATTTAAGTAGCCATGCTGAGTTAGCTGCACTTTTTCCTTGAGGCAAGAGGGAGACCCTAATGTTTTTTGAGCAGAGGAATAACATGGTGAGACCTATATTTTAGGAAGAGTAATTTGGCAGCCATCTAAAGAAGGGATTGAATCCAGCCAACAAAAGGAGACATCAGTACCAAGCAAGACAGGTTAATAAATATTTGTTGATTGAATAATTGATCATGATGATGAGGGCGGGGCCCAAGCCAAGATCTTCCGCCCTTTGCCCCAAAGGGAATCTGACTCAGAGGCCCCAGACCCTCATCTCCCTTGAAAGCCCTAGTTTACCTTTAGATCTTATTCAGATGCACCTTCAACCCTTGCCCTGAATAGAATCTGGCTCCCTCTTGTCTATAGGCCCCAGAAAGGCCTTCCTTTGTCTCCTTTTGAAAGTCCTAGCCCCACCTTGATTTTGTGCAGATGCCTTTCAAACTTCTGCCTTCCTGTTCCTCCATTATCTATTCCCATTGTCTATTCAATCTCGCAGACCTCCCCAATTAGAATTGTTACCTACACCTTTTACCCAACCCCCTTCTCTGGCCACCCAAAGTTACTTTAGTATTTAAGATCCACCTCGGCCCTCATTCAGATACTGAGAATCTCACGCTCAAAAGGCTGAGAACCTCTCATGCCTGCTCTTCCTTACCGGCATCACCCGGCCTATATGATTTACCACTAATAAACTGTTCCTCTGGCTGAAGAAGATGTGAGTTGAATTCTTTCAGACAGGGCCCAGTACCGCGATCTTGGGGTCCCAGCACCCCAAAACCCCTAGACCTCTTCACTGATATTGCCCATCAAAATTTCATTTGAATATATCAATTCACTCCAGAAAATATCTTATAATGACAACACCACCAAAGGAAGTCAAATGATTTTAACTGGGACAATAATGGAAGGATTTCTGTGGTAAATTTCTAGGGAGCCATGGTGGCACAGGAAAGGAGGGGAATGCTTTAAATTAAGGAGAGCAAGCCAGGGATCGATTCACCTCCAGCAGGAACATTTTGAAAATACCCACCATTTATAGATGCTGAGGAGAAGCAAAAGAGAAAATACAACAGCAATAACAACAACTTAGCAGTTTGAAAAGTGATTTTCAAATACTGTTTCATTTTATTATCACAGCAACTCCAGGAGGTAGGGGCTATTATTATCTTCATTTTATAGATGAGGAGACTGAGGCAGATAGAGTTTAAGTAACTCACTCAAGGTTATACAGTAGGGGTACTTGAGCACAGCTCTTTCTGATTCCAGGCCTAGTGCTCTATCCACTGCACCTCTTCATCCTCACTCCTTGATTTTTATGGGGGGAAAAAGATTCCCATCTTCCCATTATTTCTGGTCATGTAGAATCACCAAATCACCAAATCTCCAATTTGGGAAAACCTTTAGAAGCCATCTAGTCCAAGCTCTACTTGACCAGGAATCTTCTTTATAATATCTGTAATATGTGGTCATATAGCCTCTGCTGGAAAATCTCCAATGATATGGACCTCACTGTCCTCCGAGATCAAGCAGAACACCTTCAGTTTCTCTCAGAATAAGATTATATTTCACAATTTGTTTGTTCCTACTGTCACTTGGTACATTAGAAAGAGGGGACAGAGAGGAGGGACAAGGAGAGAGGCAGAGAGAGAGAGAGAGAGACAGACAGACAGACAGACAGACAGACAGAGACAAAGAGAACTATTTGTGTCTAATGGTAACCATCTCTAAGGTGGGGGAGGAGGGAAGAAAAAAAGAAAAATAAAGAAATTTACAGGATAACTTTATTATATTTTTTAAAGGAACAGCAAGTTGTATATAATTTGCAGTTTCATGTGCAATCATCTTTTTTTATTTTACTCTGTTATGGGAATGCTTGTTTTATTCCATAATTAAAAATAAAATTTTTAAAAAGAAAGAGGCAGATACAGAGAAACACACAGAAAGAGATAGCGAGAGAGAGAAAGAGAGAGAGAGAGAGAGAGAGAAAGAGAGAGAGAGAGAGAGAGAGAGAGAGAAAGAGAGAGAGAGAGAGAGAGAGAGAGAGAGAGAGAGAGAGAGAGAGAGAGAGATACACAATTTATTCCAAGGGAAAATTTCCCTCAAGCTCTAGGGAGGTGTGCTTGAAATCCGGAACATGGAGGGGAGCTGATTTTCTCCTACATGTTTGTCTCCTGAAGTCTGTTCTCTTTGTATCTGGATTTGTCTCCAAAGACAGTCTGTAA